GGTCTAAGGAGAGAGCGGGATTGAGAGCAAAATACCCAGCTAACTGTCTGCAGGTGTTTTGCCGCCCGGGAGCAGAGAAGCGAGTGAGGCAGTCACTGGTGAGGCGAGTGGGGCGAGAATGGTTTAAAAGCAGGGAAGTAGCAGCAGGCCCCGATGACAGCGGGGAGGGGGTGGCCCGGCTGCCAGGCCTCAGATAGCTGGGGCTGCGGGGAGAGAACCTTCTGTGGCCCCCAGCAGGGGAGGAGCAGGGGAAGGGCACCCAGGGCCCGAGACAGAGGGATTCCTCCTCCTTCTCAGTGAGTTAGAAAGTAAGGTCCCAGGTTGAAAGTGGGGATGGGGGGGGGTGTAGGGGGGGTGGGGGTAAGGTGTTGGAGGTTTGGAGAAAGAGGAAATGGTGGGAAGGTGCGGTGAGGACAGTGGGGAGGGCCCCGCGTGCAGCTGCGGTAGCCCACTGCGTGGTCTGGCCCAGGGAGTGGGCCAAATCAAGGTAAGGGCAGGGAGGTCAAGGGTGTATATGCAAGGCAGTGCTTAGAAATCTCCAGATGCCCGCCTGCAACCTCTCTGTTAGTCGGCTAAGACTCTTACAACAAGATACCACAGACCGGCTTAAATGACGCACACTTACTTTCTCAGGGTTCTAGAGGCAGGAAGTCCCCAAGATCAAGGTCTGGTTTGGTTTCTTCTGAGGTTTGTCTCATCGGATTGCAGAAGGCCCCCTTCCGGCGGCTGTCATTATTTCTTTTCTTTTCTTTTTAAGATTTTATTTATTTGAGAGAGAGAGAGAGAGAGAGAGAGAGAGAGCACACAAGCTGGGGAGAGAGGCAGAGGGAGAGGGAGAAGCAGACTGTCTGAGAGCAGGGGGCCAGACATGGGGCTCCATCCCAGGACCCCCCACCGGGATCAGGACCCGAGCTGAAGGCAGATGCTTAACCAACTGAGCCACCCAGGCACCCCTGCCTTCACGTATTTCTGTAAAAACACCAATCAGATTAGATTAGGGCCACCCTAACAGCCTCATTTTAACTTACTCACTTTGAAGGCCCAAATATAGTTACGTTCTGAGGTTCTGAGGAACAGGGGTGTAAGGGCCTCATGACTGCAATTTTGAGGGCACACGACTGAGCCCCTAACACCCTCCATCTACGCAGTGAATCCCAGAGAATCATCTCAACACAAACTTTTATTGTGCTTTAACTTTCCACCCCTAGAATACAAAGTTTATATAGATCCTTCCTTTGGGGCCCTTCTGGTGGAAGGAGTTGTTTTCCTAAGGGTCAGGGTTGGCATCCTCCGTACACTCCAATGCTTGCAAACTTTTTCAATCCACAGTAATAATATATATTTTATATTTGACCCGGTGCACACACACATAAATATGTAACTGGAAAGTCTGCACAGAGCAGTGCAATGTGTTTCGATGTCCAAGACAAATTTCCGTCCTTTTCCATTTTATATTTCAAACCCTCTACGGAAATATCTGTTAGGCATCTCAAATAAATCACATTGACACAGTTATATGTAAATAATAGCGTAGCAAGGAAAGAATTGACTATTGATTTAACAAAAAATTGGGTTCTGTGCATTGAGAGGACAGAAGAAGGGGAATGGGGCATGGAAGAGAGATGAAATCTTTATTCAGCGCAAAAGGAAAGAGATTTCTAAAAGAGTTGGAAAAAAAGATATAGAATGTATGTGAATTACTTTAAAATACGGAAACAGGGCAGCCCGGGTGGCTCAGGGGTTTGGTGCCACCTATAGCCCGGGTTGTGATCCAGGAGACCGGGGATCGAGTCCCACGTCAGGTCCCTGCTTGGAGCCTGCTTCTCCCTCTCTGTGTCTCTCATGAATAAATAAATTAAATATTTTATAAATAAATAAATAAATAAATAAATAAAAAATAAGGAAACAAGCATAGGAGAAACCGTGAAGAATGTCGAGCGTAGCTGCCAGTAGGGAGCTGGATATCCTTCATGGTTTCTTCTATGCTTTTGAGCAGTATTTCACTTTTTGATCTTTACATATATTGCTCGGTAAAAATAAAAAGATAATTTTAAAATGCACATAATACATGTAGCCACCTATTCTGCTGACTCTTAGGGACAGGCCAGTGGAGTTTCTTGCCATGTACTTCCACCTCCACCTCTTACCAAAAGTTTGTAAACTTCTTTTTACTCCAAATCCCAAACTCTGCATTAGAAAGTGCTTGTATTTTAGACCAGAGGTTCCCAACCCCTTTTCGATGCATGAAGATATCTCTTTCTTTAAAAACAGAGACAGTAGTTCTCCAAAAGAAGACTGTCCACTTCGTGAACTATTAAATAAAGTTCATAAAAAATAAAAATAAAAAAATTAAGAGAGAAGACAGGATAAATAACCAGTGGCTAAGAGCACAGACCTTGGAGCCAGACTCTGTTCAGATCCCAGCTTTGGCGCTTATCGGCTGTAGGATTTGGGGCAAGTCTCTGAATTCCTCTGCCTCTTCAGCTTCGTTATCTGTAACATAGAGATAATAACAATACTCACCTCCAGAAGGTGTGAAAATTCATGGAGTTCATTTTTTTTAAGTGCTTAGACCAGTGCCTGGCATGTTAAATATGTAAAATTTCACAAGAAGGTAGTACTTACCCCTTTGAATCGATAGATTGGGAAACTACTAAATTCAGAGCTACCTTGAGTTATTTATTAACTATTAAAAATATATATGATATTCCTATCAGTTATATTATAAAATAATTCGTATTTTCTTTATCACACCAGAATCTGCAGTTTGCCATAGAGTATGCCTGTAGGAAATGCTATTTCTTGTCAGTCTGTGGACAACGTTCAATACGCATATGACTTTGGGTGAATCTGAGGAGGTCTGGCATTCACAAGACACATATACTGTCCATCTACTAACCCTCCATGCCTGCAAAGTAGGACCTATGATTGGTCATTTTTAACTGATTAGGGTCCTCCCAGAATTTGTATGTGGAAGCTACACTAATAGGATCTCCCCACTCCCTGCACGGGAGTCATGCCCAAGATGAACCTATGAGAAGAAAACCAACACAGACTGCAGCTGAGCCCCTCAGAAACTTAAGAAATTACTGACCAGAGCTGCTGGCAGGTATGCTTGGAATACAAGGGTCATTAGGAAGCTTAAATCTAATGTATTCCATTGTCTGAGAATGGACCATATTTAGAGAAGGGTTTAGCCAAGAGCAGAAGTAGGGAATGGTTGGAAAACCAAAGGTGTCCTCAGGTCTCTTGCACGGTCCGGGGAAGAAGGCTCCCAACCCATGAACACCGATATTCCAATCTCTTTACTACAAACATCCCTATGCTATGGGGATACAAAGCCTGATGGTTGCATTTTTTAAAAAAATCTATATTCATTTGTTACAATCCAGGTTTACCAAGCCACATTCTGGTGATAATTGGTCTTCCTGTATAAGTTTGTCCACAAGGAAAATTGTGCTTGGCACTAATATTTTTCATTGTAAATGAATAAATCAGCATTCTGGATTGTATAGCAGTTGCTGTGAATGGTTTTGTTTTGTTTTCGCATGAGTCCCCGAGGAAATCCTCAAGTCTGGGTACCCAGCAGGAAGCAGGCTAAGCACCTCCAAGAGAACAGGCCGGAGGTCAGGATGACGGAATGAAGGAGACACTCCGAGCTGTTGTCTGTAGGTGACATCTCTCCATCTCATCTTTGAAAATCACAGCTTGGCCCCGTACAGAACCCGCATCCCCGGTACTGTTGCAACTTTGGGTTTTCCTGATAGGGAGAGTTTCCAACTGCATCGTTCTCTCCAGGAAAAGTGAGTTGAGGCGGAGTTTGGGCTTTCATTTGGAATCTGTGTTGTATTGATCATTTAAACCATTTTCATACACCACCACTTACCCGCTAGATTTGCTCATTCACTTCCAACAGGCATCTTGATCAGTGAGCGAGACACTTCGTTGGGAGATAGATGGTTAGAAAGATGGATTGCGAAACCGTAGAAGCAGCCCGCGTGTGTGCGGATGGATGAATGGATAAGCACAATGCGATGGGTACACGGGAGGGAATATTGTCCAGCCTTAAAAAGGAGGGGAATTCTGACACGTGCTAACACGGGGATGGGAGGGGAGGACATTAGGACATTACACTAAGTGAAATGACGCGGTCCCCAAACGACGAATATTGTATGATTTCATTTATATGAGGTCCCTAGAGTAGTCAAAATTTGGAGACAGAGCGTAGAACGGTGGCTGTCAGGGGCTGGGGCAGGAAGGACGGGGGACTTGTTCAGTGGACACAGAGTCCCAGTTCTGCAAGATGGAAAGAGGTAGTGGATGGTGGTGAAAGTAGCATAACCACATGACTACGCTTAAGGCCCCTGACCCTACACTTAGCCATGGTTAACACGGTCCGTTTTAGGTTCCGTGTGTTTCACAACCATAAAGAAAAAGAGGCAGATGATGGCTCTTGTCCTGTGGTGCTTACAACCCCTAGGCGAGGCCCACCAGGAGGGTGGGGCTAGCACTGTAGGGATGCACACTAAAGACCGGTTAATACTGAGGCCAGCCCATCTCACAAAGAAACTGATAGAAGGGGGCCTCTGGGGGCTCAGCGGTGGAGCACCTGCCTCCGGCCCAGGTCGTGACCCCGGGTCACGGGTTCGAGTCCCGCACCGGGCTCCCTGCAGGGAGCCTGCTTCTCCCTCTGTAAATAAAATCCTAAAAAAAAAAAGAAAAAAGAAACTGATACAAGATGTAGGTTGTTATGCAAATTTCCCCACATGCTTCAAACCCCTCGCATTGGTGCTTGAGCCCTGAGCGCCCCAGCCTGCTCCCAGGGCTGCACAGCGCCGCCGCCCGCAGTGCACCGCCAGTCACGTAGGGGGCGCTGCGGCCCCGCCTCTGCTCCGCGTACCCACCCCCACCCCCCGCCCCGCCTCGGTGGCCCTCACTTCCGCTTCCGGAGCCCGCCTCCGCGCGCCGGAGCCTGCGCAGTCTCCGGCTTCCGGCCCGCGAGCAGCATGGCGGCGGCCTCGGGTGGGGAGAAGGAGAAGGAGCGGCCGGGGGGCGGCGCGGGCGCGGCGGGCGGGAACAGCACGCGGGAGCGGCTGCTGTCTGCGCTGGAGGACCTGGAGGTCTTGTCGAGGTAGCGGCGTCGGGCGGGCGGCCTGGCTGGAGTCGGGGAGGCGGCGCTCTGGAGACCGCGGCGGGGTCGTGGCCTCGAGGTCGCAGCCCCGCGGGACCCGGACGCGGCCTCTTCCCCCCGCACCGCCCCCGGGGGACGCTTGATAGCGGCGGTGACCCCGGGACCCCGACACTGGGAGATGGGGGGAGGGGGACCTGGGGGGGCGCTCGGTGACCTGCAGGGACACCCCGGGACCCCGACACTGGGAGATGGGGGAGGGGGGACCTGGGGGGGCGCTCGGTGACCTGCAGGGACACCCCGGGACCCCGACACTCGGGGATGGGGGAGGGGGGACCTGGGGGGCGCTCGGTGACCTGCAGGGACACCCCGGGACCCCGACACTCGGGGATGGGGGAGGGGGGACCTGGGGGGGCGCTCGGTGACCTGCAGGGACACCCCGGGACCCCGACACTCGGAGATGGGGGAGGGGGGACCTGGGGAGCGCTCGGTGACCTGCAGGGACACCCCGGGACCCCGACACTCGGAGATGGGGGAGGGGGGACCTGGGGGGGCGCTCGGTGACCTGCAGGGACACCCCGGGACCCTGACACTGGGAGATGGGGGAGGGGGGATCTAGGGGGGCGCTCGGTGACCTGCAGGGACACCCCAGGACCTGACACTGTGGGAGATGGGGGAGGGGGGCCTCGGGCCGGGGGCTTGGTGACCTGCAGGGACACCCCGGACCCCGGCACTCAGAGATCGCTGTCACCTATTTCCATGACTGTGTCCCAGCGGCTGGGACCTAGTCAAAGCCGATGCCATCCTTTGCCTACAGAAGCCACTTAACTTGATTTCCATTCTACTCCTCTTAAAATCCATTTTCCAGGTAGCTTAGCAATTGCTTACAAACACAAATCAGGTCATGTCATTTCCGTTTAAAATGATCCAGTCAGTGGGGCGCCTGGGTGGCTCAGTCAGTGGGGCGTCCGCCTTGGGCTCAGGTGGGTGCAGGGTCCTGGGATTGAGCCCTGAGACCAGCTCCCCGTTCAGTGGAATCCGCTTCTCCCTCTGCCTCCCCCTCCATTTTTTTTTTTTCTCTCTCAAAATAAAAAAAAAAAATCTTTTTAAAAAAGTTAAAATGATCCAGTCGCTTTCCATTGTACCTGGAATGAAATGCTGATTCTTTACCATGACCCGTGAGGCCCTCACACAGCCTGGCCCGCCCGCCCGCCCTCCCGACCCGTCCTCATTGTGTATCCTGCTCCTCGGTACCTACTGCTGTGTCCCGGCCACCCTTCCTCAAACCCATCTTTGGGCCCCCGAACCCGGCTGTTCTCACTTGCAGAAGCCCTCCCTGACTCCACCAGTGTGCGTGGCCAGACAACTCACTGACACACTCTAACACTGCTTCAGTTTCTTCCCAGCCCTTCTTCTAACTCTGGTTTGATTTACCTGCTTTCTTGGTTTTTCTCTTCTGTATTATAATTTAAATTCCTTTGTTCGCTTTCATAAGCTAGGCATCCAGAAAGTGCCTGGCACACAGTGGAAACTTAAATGTCTAATCAGTGGGTGAATGAAGACTTTCCATTGCCATATCCACTTTATTCATTAATTAGCTAGCTAGTTCATGCATAATGGTATGAGAACCTCATAGTGGGGAAGGTTGGGTCCAGTTGGCACCATCCAGAAAAATAGTTTGAGGCTGGCAGTAAGGAAGATGGAAGTATGCAGGTGAAAATAGCCTGGCGGCCAGTGAGAAGGTACAGGCTTTACTGGGGCTGACTGGCGGTGTCCTGTTGCTAATTGTGCAGCTGTACCTCTTGCATAATTTCTGGAGTCCCATCTGTCAGCAAGTTTGAAACTAGTGTGTCAGGATATTACCTGATACATATTTTATACTCCTCTTTATACTAGTTTTCATAAAGGAAAATTGGCATGTCTAGTAAATAAGCATTCCAAAAAGGTAGGACTTTATTATACGTTAGAATCCCTCTTAGTTGATACCTGTTTGGTTAATTAAAAATTTCAGTTCACATAGAAAATCATTAAAAACGTGATTCATCTACTCCTTAATTTAGGGGGTTTTCTTGCATAAACCACCCATAATGCCTTGCCCACCAATTTCCAGTGTGTTTCGTTAAAGCGAAATGAGGGGTGCCTGACTGGCTCAGGCAGTAGAGTATGCGACTTGATCTATGGGTTGTGAATTTGAGCCCCACCTTGGGCCTAGAGATTACTTAAAAAAAAAAAAAAAAAAGTAAATAAGAACTTAAATGCTTATCAAGCAGTCTTAGGGTAGACTTTTGCTGAATTTTCATGACTTTGCAGTTCTTTGCAGGCAGCTGTTGAGTCTTTCCCAAGTATTCAGCTTAGGTTTTTATGGAAATTACTCTTTTCTGTTGACAGTCATATTTCGTTGGTATTTATGAAATGGATATTTAATATATTTAACTATACTAGTAAAGTAGAACTTTAAAACTTGCATAACTGGATCTGGTAACAGACATAACTGAGTCTTGGTGAGAGAGTACCTCGTAGCTGATGAGCGCCCAAGCGCACGGTCACTGGGCAGCGGCTCTGAGTACTCAGCATGCTGTGGGTGCCATGAATCCAGCAAGTCAGTTAGGTAGAGATCAGTTAATAAAGCTTCTGTTGTATTTATTTTGCAAAGATGTTTTTGTTTTTCTTTTTTAGAGAACTTATAGAAATGCTGGCAATTTCAAGAAACCAAAAGTTGTTGCCGCCTGATGAGGAAAACCAGGTAAGTGGTTTCTTTTTATATTACAAACAAGAAATCCCCATTATTTGTGCAATTTCCCTATTTACATTTACTTTGTGTGAGAACAGGAAGATTGGATTCTGTTAAATTATAGATTACGATTTTTAAATTGATACTTTCTTCGAATCACTTACATAGGCTAACACACTGCTTGAGAAGAAAAAAGTCTAAAGGTTTAGCAGTATTGTTTTTTCTTCTAGTTACACATTTATTCGTTTTTGTCTTTTGAATTAACCAACTAATAAACTTGTTACATGGAGGTTAAAACAATATTTGAAATAAAAAAAGTTAATGCTGTCATAAACTAACCTTTTATTATATAGACCTGGTTCCCCTAATGTAACTTGAGAATTAATAGAAATTAAAGAGCATACAGCTGTTAATAGAAGTTATTTTGTGGAGGTTAAATTTACATGTTTTTATTTTCTTTATTCCTTTCTGTGCTTTGTAATTTTCTACGGTGAGCAGATTTTTTTTCTGATCCAAAACCTTTTTTTAAATTAATTAATTTGTATTATTTACTCATGAGAGACCCAGGCAGAGGGAGAAGCGGGCCCTCTGTGGGGAGCCCGATGTGGGACTCGATCCCAGGACCCCGGGATCACGGCCTGAGCTGAAGGCAGACGCTCAGCCACTAAGCCACCCAGGCATGATCCAAAAACTTTTTAAAGAGGGCAAATGTCATTTTATGTGTTTTCTACTGTAATTAAAAAAAAAAAAAAAAAGTTTTTTTTTAAAAGAAAACAGCTGGGAAAGATTAACCTTTTTAATAACAGGAGACATCTCATAGATCTCTTCTCCATCCTTTCTGCCCTATTATTATCTTACTTTTATGATATGTTTTGAGGGCAGAGAAATTCAATCGGCTGATAATAGAGAAGTATCATAAAACTTGTTTTCTTCAAGGATTAATCCCTTCAGGTGGAGAGGGGGAATTAGATACGCTACAAGTAGTAAAAGCTGGGACTTTTGGGGAGATTAAAGTTGTTTTTTGTCTGTTGTTTGTTTTTAGGAAAAGCTTATAGAGAAAAATCCTAATAGAGGAATGCCAGTCCCAGATACTTTATTGATAAATACATGTAAAATTAAGTAAGTACTTACTACAAAATGAAATACAGGTTTTGACTTTACTTCCCAGGCACACAGATTATTCAGTAGGTCATAACCAAGACCTGCCTGGTCAGCACTAACTTTTCTTATACTTTTTAAGGACTGGCAGTTCTGTCCCTAAAAAATAACAGTACCTTGTCACATAAAGTTGTTGTGAGGATTTACGATACAGCATGTTAAGTACAAATAAGGAGAGCTCAGTAATGGATAATTGTCATCATCACTACCCAGGGAAAGAATTAAACTTTATACTTGTGAATTCCTGTATAATGTTCAATGAAAGTACTAAATATTAGTTTGGATGTGCCCATATGAAAATTTATTTTTGGAAATTGCTCTTTTTTAAACCATCTTCATCATAAAACAATAGTATGCATGACATCACAGGTCTAATATGAGTTATGTATTTTCTTGAACATAATAGCACAAATTTGCAACTGTAAAAGTTTTTTTAAGTATCATACATTTATCATAATAGTATTTCTGCAATCAGCTTAACTCTGAGACAGCCATAATGAAGCATTTACTTATATTGTCAAGTTTCCTTATATAGTTTAATATTTTACTCATTTATTTGCTGTTATAGTTGATTATATACAATTTTGTGACTTTAAAAAAATGTACATTTTGTCATGTCTTTGCATCGTGTTTAGCACTTGGGGTTTTTTAAATTTTTTTCTATTTTTCTTGAGATAACAGAAATATAACATTGCGTTAGTTTAAGATATGCGACAATGATTTGATACATGTATGTATTGTGAAAATGATTATCACAGTAAGTTTAGTTAATTTACGTTACCTCACATACTTAAAATTTTTTTTTCTTAAGAACTTTTAAGAAGATGTCAGGGAAACTGTGGCACCTTTTCATGTACCTGTTGGTGATTAGGGTGCCTTTGGAAAAATTTCTATTCTGTTTCTCTGTACATTTTTAAGAACTTTCTTAAAGTTGCTAAAATTTACTGTCTTAGCAACTTTCAAATATACAATGCAGTATTGTTAACTGTACTCACCGCTTCTGTACATTATATTTCCGGAACTTATCTTATAGCTGGAAGTTTGTACCTTTTGATCATCTTCACCCATTTTGCCCTGGCAACCACCAATCTGATTTGTTATTCTTTGAATTTGGCTCTTTTAGATTCCACATGTAAGTGAGATCATGCAGTTATTTGCCTTTCTCTGTCTGACTTATTTGACTTAATATAATGGCCTGAGGGTTCATCCATGTTGTCACAAATGGCAAGATTTCATTCTTTTTTATGGCTGAATAATATCTCTCTGTGTGTATATATACATTCCACATTTTCTACTAGTTCGAAGGGATACAGGTACCCAATGTTTTTAGCAGTATTATCAGCAATAGCCAAATTATGGGAAAAGCCTAAATGTTCATCAGCTAATGAATGGGTAAAGAAGAGGTGGTGTATATACAGCTAATGAATGGGTAAGAAGAGGTGGTGTATAGAGGTGCTCACACACACACACACACACACACACACACACACTAGAATATTACTCATAAAAAAATAATGAAATCCTGCCATTTGCAGCAATGTGGATGGAGCTACAGAGTATTAGGCCAAGTGAAATTAAGTCAGAAAAAGACAAATACCATATAATTTCATTCATATGGAATTTAAGAAACAAAACAAGTGATCATAGGGGAAAAGGGGGAGAGGGAAATCAAGAAACAGACTCTTAACTATAGAGAACAAATTGATGGTTACCAGAGGGAAGGTGTGTAGGAGAATGGATGAATATAGGTGATGTGGACTAAGGAGTGTACTTGTGATCAGTGAGTATGATGTATGTATTGTACACTTGAAACTAATATTACACTGTATTGCTACTAACTGGAATTTAAATAAGAACTAAAAAAAATACCACATTTTCTTTATCCATCCATATATTGATAGATTGTTATCTATCAATCTTTCAGTCCTGGCTATTGTAAATGCAGCAGTGAACACACGGGTGTAAATGTTTTTGAGATGATAATTTCATTTTCTTCAGATAGGTACCCAGAGTGAAATTGCTAGATCATATGGTAGTTTTATTTTAAAATTTTTAAGTAACTTCCATACTGTTTTCCATGGTGGTTGCACTAGTTAACATTCCTACCATCAGTGCACGAGGGTTCTCTTTTCTCTACATTCTCACCAACACTTACCTCTTGTTTTTTTGATTACAGCCTTTGTAACTGGTATGAGGTGATACCCAATTGTGGTTTTGATTTGCATTTCCCTGATAAGTTAGTGATGTTGAGCACCGTTGCATGTACCTCGTTTGTAGGTCTTTGGAAAAATGTTCAGTTTCTTTGCCCATTTTTTTTTCTTTTTGCCCATTTTTAATCAGACTGTTTGTTTTGTACAAATTTTTTTTTGTACAAATTTTTTAAAGTTCCTGGTGTCATCTAAAATAATCTCAAATACCAAAATTGGGGCGAACCTCCATTACATTATGTTTTTAAGGATAAACTTTAAAATTTTTATTTTTACCGGGAAATGAATAAACCTCATTTTGGCATATTGGAAGTTCTGAAGACTTGTTTTGTATGAAAGAATAGCATATAATTAGAAAAAAAAGTTTTGATACTAATTTGTTTTCTAAAATAATCATAGGCTATTTTTATTCTTAACATTGATTAGAGTAATACATTGAAGGTGCTAAAATTTTATAGCCTGGCCAATTCACATGTAGAGTCTTTGTTTCATTGGAATGCCATTTTTCAGAATTCTGCTTTCTGCTTTAATCAACTGTTACCTGATAGGTCCTGGAGTTGTTAATTCACAGAGATGGGGAATTTCAAGAACTGATGAAGTTGGCACTTAATCAGGGAAAAATCCATCATGAAATGCAAGTTTTAGAAAAGGAAGTGGAGAAGAGGGACAGTGATATTCAGCAACTACAGAAACAGCTAAAGGAAGCAGAGCAAATACTGGTAAGTTGATAGAAGGAAGATAAAAAAGGATATTGTTTAATCTGTTTCTGAAAAAGAAAGCTATTTTAAAGTTTATTTAGATTTCCACAGGACTGGATTAATAGAACTGGGAACTTGTACTTTTATCTTGTCCTGTTAGAAGTTTTCAGTTATTAGTAGCCTAAATCTTTACTTCAGCTTTTAAAATATTTTGAAATCGGTAGAAATATGTACCAATTTTAAAAATTGATTAAAATTTATATTAACTGGGACACCTGGGTGGCTCAGTGGTTGAGCTTCTGCCTTCGGCTCAGGTTATGGTCCCGGGGTCCTGGGATTGAGTCCCACATCGGGCTCCCCGCGGGGAGCCTGCTTTTCCTTCTGCCTGTGTCTCTGCCTCTCTGTCTCTGTGTCTCTCAGGAATAAATCAATGAACTCTTAAAAAAAAAGTTTATAATAACTATTTAGTCTTTCATTCTAAACTAGGTGGAATTTGGGCATATGTCAACTACTCTAGTTTTGGGTTTTTGTTTTTTTTTCTTGCTGTTGGCTACTATTTCAAAAAAAACAATTTCTTTGCTGTTATTTGCCCAGTTGTTTCACTAAATACTGACTAATGAAATTGTTATATGGTGGTATCACAGCAGTGGCTGAGTCTGAGTCTCAAATGGAGTAGATATTGCTGGAATCCTTATCCCTAATGAATCTTCCAAATGTGTCCCAATGGGCTTCAGTAAATAGAAACCTCAGGGGTTCAGGATACTTTAACCACTCCGGCTGAAGAAATGACCCCAAGTAAATGCTTTTTAAAAAAAAAATATATAATGAAATCTATTTTCCATTAGGAAAGTAATACTTGCTAAAAGATACTCAGAAAATAGAGAAAAGTAGAAAGAAGAGGAAAACATTGTCTTTAGTCCCTCTGTTCAGATTACCATTATTCTTAGTTTTGTGCATTTCATTTCAGTGCCAGATGTATTTTTTTTTAATTTTCCTGTAGTCTTATAGGTGATTTTTATTTTTATTTTATTTTTTTTTAAATTTTATTTATTATTTATGATAGTCACACACACACAGAGAGAGAGAGAGAGAGAGAGAGAGAGAGGCAGAGACACAGGCAGAGGGAGAAGCAGACTCCATGCACCGGGAGCCCGACGTGGGATTCGATCCCGGGTCTCCAGGATCGCGCCCTGGGCCAAAGGCAGGCGCCAAACCTCTGCGCCACCCAGGGATCCCTATAGTTGATTTTTTAATTGAAGTCTGATTGACACACGGTGTTACGGAGGTTTCAGGTATACAAACTTTTTTTTTTTTCAGAAGTTTTCATTTTTTATGTCATAATTAGTAGGATACTAACCGGCTTTTATTTACTGTTTATTAAAACTTAAGTGTTTTTCATATATCCTTTGTTTAGTTTTCCAACTTTCTGTTATAAAGAATGCTTTGAGTATCATTGCAAAAAAGTTCTTTTTCTCTTCTGCATTTCAGATTATATTCTTTAGATTAGATTTCCAAAAATGTAATTATTGAATTAAAGACAGTTAATGCAAGGACCATAAAAAGACGGAATTTTATGACTTAGGTATAGCAACTATCATTTATTGGGCACTTGTGCATCAGGCCTTGTGCTTATTTGCAATTTACATGTATTATCTCAGTCTTCTTAACAGTTACTCTAGGTTAGTATTTTACAGATGAAGAAACCCAAGATTTTAATTTTTTTAAATTAACGACTTTGCCCAGGAAGAGTGAAAAGTAGAGAGATGGAACTTAAACCTAGTTCTCTCTGACTCCATATTCTTAACTACTGTTCTAGTTGAGGATGCATATACTAGCTTAACTTCATTTTACCCTTTAATGGAGCAGGGTTGAGGGGGGAACTTGGGGATGTTTTCATTATAGCTATCATTAAGCATGGAGGTAATGGTATTGTATAAGTGAGTAAGACTGTCAATCCAAGAATGTATCTTGAAATTAGAAAAAAAAGTATTTTGGTATTTTCTCTTTGAATAAGAAGAGATAAACGCAAGAATAGGATGTTTTATGAGTCATATGTGATCTGGTTATCTTATGCCTATCTATGATAGAAGGCATAAAGAAATGTTAGTAAACAATCTAATTTATACTTTATTTCTAACAACTAATGAATGAAGACAGATTCATGAATACATATTTCTTTTATTAACCAACTGATATAAATGATTCCCAAGTGGTGTTTCAGAATATTGCAAATAAATTATGGGGATTTCCAAATTTTGCATATTGTTCCTGTGGGATTAATCATTTTGTGAATGAAGGTAAACATTCTGCTTGATAAAGTTAAGAATAAACCATATTTCTTTTTTAATGTTCAAATTAGGCAACAGCTGTTTACCAGGCAAAAGAAAAACTCAAATCAATAGAAAAAGCAAGAAAAGGTTAGTACTATTGGGAACATGAATGACTTTCTGTGTAAAATCCAAGTTTTGGCTTCAAGAAATGGATGAGAGTATTACTGGTAATCATTTGTTGCTATTGAAATGATTCCAATAAATATTTATTGTAAAGTGTCTGCTAGGCTCTAGTACTATATGCTATGTATTGTTAGGGAGATATACCTTTTTCAGGTTCTGAGAAGCAATAATATAAGGGAAGTTATGGCTTTGTATCTGAATGTGCAGTAGACAGGTTTATAAAGTTGTTGGGAGAAAGGAAGAGAACTGCAAGCTGGAAGCAAGTGGCATGTGAGTTGGATCTTAAAAGACAGGATAGAGAGTGAAAGAAAATGTGCAGTGGGCGACTGAAGTGAAATGAGAGTGTCCTGAAGTCAGAGGTAGATGTGGCTTTGGGATGTGTGCACATTTAATGGTGCAACCCCAGCATGCCTTCTTTTTTTTTTTTTAAGACTTTATTTATTCATGAGAGACACAGAGAGAGAAGCAGAGACACAGGTAGAGGAAGAAGCAGGCTCCAGGCAGGGAGCCTGACTTGGGACTCGATCCTGGAACTCCAGGATCACGACCCGGGCCAAAGGCAGGCGCTAAACCGCTGAGCCACCCAGGGATCCCCCTGGTTTGTAGATTATTTACCTATAATCACCTCAGAGTTGTCTGACTTTCCTCCTCTTTTCCTGTTTCAGATAACTACTGTTAATGTTTAGTGTGTGTCCATTTTTTAGGTGTTTAATGCAAATACATATATGTACATATATTCTAAAAAACCAGGTCATGCTATACATATTATTTAGCAGCTTACTTTTTTTTTTTTTTTAAGATTTTTTTGAGTGGGGGGAGAGAGCACAAGGAATGGGGAGGGGTAGAAGGAGAAGCAGACCCACTGAGCAGGGAGCCCAGTGTGAGACACCATCACCGGGCCCTGGAATCACGACCTGAACCAAAGGCAGATGCTTAACCATCTGAGCCACCCAGGCATCCAGCAGCTTAGTTTTTAAATCTAATGAATATATTGTGGACATGTTTCTACTTGGGTCTACTTCTATCCTTAGGGTCACGTTAAGTCACAATTGAGTGGTGTAGTATGAGCTGCTGCTGTAATAGCTAAGCTGTCAATGCAAGACAAAACACCCTTTGCTGTGTCTTATTTGTGTTCACTGTTGCTTTCAGAACAGTAGGAATGTTTAATGGTAGTTAGTAATCAAGATCAGTGGGCATTATCATGCTAATGTCCCAAATATGATACTTTATCAGGTGTATTTTCTAGATGTCTTGTTCTTTAGTTGGGAAATCTTATATGATTTAATAATATACATATTAGTTTTTACTAGGGAAGGTAGGTAACTCGGATTATCCTATTTTCAGGTAATTTAAAATTTAGTAAGTGACTTGTAAGTTACTAGACTAACATGTTACTCTCTCTTCTTGACTCAGGTGCCATCTCCTCTGAAGAAATAATTAAGTATGCACATAGAATAAGTGCAAGTAATGCTGTGTGTGCTCCACTCACCTGGGTTCCAGGTAAAAATACTTCTCTTTTTATTAGGTATATATGGTTTTGAAAATTCTTAGGTAACTATACTCAAAAATAGGAAAAATTTAAATATAGAATATATTTATCCTTAGAAACCTCCTCCGTATATTTTCATATCTTTAATATCTTACAAGTAATAATTTGGGTTATGGGTTTATCAGTTTGGTTTTCTGCAAAGCTTTTGCCATAGAGACTGTGTTTTTGTCCTTTTTAAAGAAAAATCATAAATTGATGTTTAAAAGTACCAGATGATATGTAATGATTCTAAGCTGTAGATTTATATGTCTGTAATATCCAGGCTGGCCAGAAGCCCACTTCTTAGAACCATTGGGATGTCGTCAAGGGTTCTGCCCTTGGAAACGAGACAGTCCCAGCTCTTCAGTGATACAGTGAAGCACTGAGTGCTCACAAACAAACACATGGGACTGGAAAGAGCTGGAATAATTAGAAACAGCACAAAAGGGTAACAAACTACAACATACATTGACAGCACATAAAACATTTATAAGACAGGGACCTGCGGTAGAGCAGCAATCTTCTGGGAAGAGTGGGAGAGTATCTCAGCATCAGAATCTCATGATGGTGGCATTTCACCATACTAAAAACACTAAGATTAACTGCAGTTTCGGAGGTGAGTGATCTGGAATGAGAAATATTACTAAAAAGTTGGTCCAAATCTGCCAAGTTTTCATTATCCCAAAACTATCATGATTAGAAATGAAAGCTCCTGATAAACCTCCACTGGAAAGTTCTACGAATTAATCTCTAAATGACAAGATCAAAGAGGTTGATTAGAAAAAGTTTTAATTTAGGTAGTCCTTCAAATAAGCAGTCCTTTCTGTCTTGTTAAAAAAAAAAAAAGCGCCATATATTTATTCTCCTTCAGAGTATGTATCATTTGTTCTTACTAGGAAATGCGGGTAACTTAGAAGACTCAAGATCATTATTATTTTCTTAATTTGTCATCTAGAATTGCTAAAATGACACTTTTTTTTTTGTATAGAGAATAGTATATTTCTGTGCAGATTCAGAGAAGAAATGCATGTATTTTTAAATTTAATATATTATGCTCTTAATCACAATTGATAAGATGACCTTCCTGTATGAAAATCGAAAATATATTTTTGAGTTTTTCAAAGAGAACCGAGGAAAATCAATACTTCAGGGAAAGTATTGCTGCTTATTTTGCATAAGATTCAATTAAAAGCAGTCTTTTTTTAGGGGACCCACGGAGACCATACCCAACTGATTTAGAGATGAGAAGTGGATTATTGGGTCAAATGAACAATCCTTCCACGAATGGTGTAAATGGTCATTTACCAGGGGATGCACTTGCAGCAGGCAGATTGCCAGGTAATACTAATCAGAATGGGGTTTTCAAACACACCAGAGTTTTTAAGACATGACTGTCTGGCTGTTGAACAAGTTTGAGAGTCTAGACCCAACTCGTTTTAATAGCTAGGTTTTTTGCCAATTATCCTGCTCTGTAGATCAAAAACTGTTCTAGTTGGAGTTTATGAAATTAAAATAAATTGATTTCTCTCTCATTGATTGTTTATTTGCCTCGGCATTAGGCCTTTAATCATTAAAATCTAAACAGCTTTTTAAATTGTGAAATATACTGTACCAACAGAATAAGAAATATAAATGTTCATTTTAAAGAATACAAAGTGAACTCACTCTTGAAAAACTCCCAAGTTAACAAAACGAGTAACAACTTTTTACTTTTGAATAACTGAATAGCACTTTTGAACTAGATAGCACTTCTGTGAGACTCAGACTGTTCTGAATTTCAGCCTTCCTCAAGTTTTACATGTAGTTTTGCGTTATTACATTTATTTTATGTTTCCCACCTTTTATCTTCTGTAGGTGACTTGTTTTGATTTGGTAGAACATTTAAAAAGTTTTTTAAAACTGCTTAAAGGACAAACTGAGAACTCACTGTGCATTAGTTTCCTTTGATATCTTTGCCTTTTTCTCATTTGGGTTATTCCATATCCTGCCAGTCACAGGCCAGTCATGAGGCAGAAACCACATAGTAATATGAGCAAGGAAAATTTAAAGAAAATTTGGTACTGACTACTAAAGGGTAAAGAGAGCTGTTTTTAAAAAATAGAGCACTAACAGATGCGGGAAGCAGCTGCGGCCCAAGGGACGGCAGAGAGGCTGGATGGGGTGTTCCTAGGCTGCAGCCGGCAGGCAGGGATCCAGCCACCAGCCTTCAGATTCCTGGGAGCCCTGCTGGGAAGCCGCCTTGAGGGTGAGGGTGAGACTTCAACGCCCCTGAAACTTGCGAGGGAGTGAGCACCGCTTGAGGTGCTTGATGTCCCTGCGCCGCCGCGCAGCCGCAGCCGGCACCACCGGCCTGAGAAGGAAAACTATAGGATCCCTAGGCCTGGTCCCCTTGCACAGTCCCTCCAGTGCCCTCTGCTGACGAAGATTAACATGGTGGCTGCTGGCAAAGGAGAAACGTTTTCAGGGTCCAGGGAGCAGAGTGGATCCAAAGCTTAGGCAGTTTAAACTTGTAATACTTAGTATAGCACATGTTAGCTATTTAAAATGTGTAGAGAGAATACTATATACGACCTAATACAGATCTGCGTATAGTTTACATCGACACGTATAAGACACATTTGATGGGTCATTGTGAACGTCTTGCAAAAGAAAAATTAGGTCAGCTGATTATATAAAGTTACCTAGATGGAAGCATGATTTCTAAAAAAATAAAACACAGGTTCTGGTTATTAAACACCATGCTATTTCTTGATAACTTTGATCTTCATTAATTTTGCCAAATGTATGTTTTGATTCCTGGCCTTAAAAAATTACTGGCTTCAGATTCTGTGCATGAAGGGAAGTGTAGTTAAGTAGTAAATTAATTACTGGTAGAAGTGTTGTTACATATGCTTCTTTCTTTTCTCCAGATGTCCTTGCTCCGCAGTACCCATGGCAGTCAAATGACATGTCCATGAATATGTTACCACCAAATCACAGTAATGACTTCTTGTTGGAACCTCCGGGGCATAATAAAGAAAATGAAGATGATGTAGAAGTTATGTCAACAGACTCCTCGAGCAGTAGCAGTGACTCTGATTAAAAACATAAAAGACACAATTCATACAGAATTGAATACCATGGGGAGCACTTGGGTGGCTTGGCTGAGCGTCAGACTCTTGATTTTGGCTCAGGTCGTGATCTCAGGGTTGTGAGGTTGAGCCCCGTATCTGGCTCTGTGCTGGGCATGGAGTCTGCTGAAGATTCTCTGAAGATTCCCCCTGCCTCTCTCCCTCTCTAAAAACCAAACAAAACAGAATTGAATGCTGTGGAATTTTGTTTCTAAAACTATTGTAAACCTGTAAAAAATAGCCGGGTAATACTGGCTATAGCGGAATGGTGCGGCCCATCAAGAATCACTGGACTTTTCTTTTAAAAGCCAAAAATCATGGTTTCAGTTCTAAACCACTAAATGAATATTTAAAGAATAATCAAAATTTATTGTTGGGAAAAAAATTACTCAGTGCTGTTCTACGCCGTTATATTCCAGTTATGTTGGACTTGTACATAGTAGGTCTGGAAATACACATTGAGGGAAGTGACCGCTGTACATACACTAATCAGCCCCTGGAATTAGAAAAGCATTTTAAATAAGGGCAGTGGATCACCGAATGTCTGTCGTATCTCAGAGTAACAAAACCCTCATTTTAAAGTGAAGGCTGGGTAGCTTCGGTCACAGTAACGGAAATTGTCTCAATTTGTACTATCTGTAATTATTGTAAGTTTTGTAAATAAACTCTCTTTTGTTTGTACTCCGTATGCTTTTTTCTTTTAATTGAAATATGTCGTCAGTGAAAGTAAATTATTTCTGTAAATCCAGTTGCATTTCATATGCACTAAAGTAGAATTCGGGAGTGTGAATGAACATGCTGTACTGCATACAGCTGAACTAGTAGTCGCAACTGGTAGGTCTCACAAAGGCCCATACTGACCTTAGAAGAAATACAATGAAGTTGGTTCTTGTGGGGTTTTTTGTTTTTTCCATTAGTCTTCCCCTCGTTTTTTGTTATTTTTTAAATAATTTTAAAAAGCTTACATAATAATGTCTGATCTTAAGAATGACATTGTCTGAAAGGTTTTAGAATGGGAAGCATGCCTCTTGCCTTCACCTTCCGTTTCACTGCAGTTCCCAGAGGGAATCACGTAACCACTTTTAACTTCTAACGGTTAACCTCCATGTTTAAATAATATGCTTATACAGCTACAATTTATTTTAGTGTACTTTTAATTTTTTTTTCAGATTGCAAAAGCAACAACATCCATAGTGGAGCATTTAGCAAATAGAGTAAATTACATAGGAGAAAATGAAACCAGCATTCTACCAAGAGATCCTATCAACATTTTGGGGTAGGTTTTTTGATCTGTTTTAAAGATCCACGTGTATACATTTTTTTAAATGAGAATGTGTATTTCCTGAGATGCTATAATAGTTTTTAGTAATCTACATCCTTGCAACTTTTTCCTTTTTAGTATTTAAATGGAAGGACCTGTAGAAAAACATTTGTCTTCCAACTTCAGCAATTATCCTGGAAACGAAATTCCATTTTTAGATTGGAATCTTGAATAATACAAGGAACAAAGTGTGAGTGTCCTGGTTTGGGATTCTAACAAAGTATAAATTATCTCAGTTCAGTGTCTTTACTTTTGTTTTAATGTGGATTCATCGGCATGCCACAGTCAGTCACTGGTATGTGGCATGGGTAAAATATTGGTTGCCTAATTAAAAAATATACGTGTATATATACTACAGCCAAGGAAAAGGAGGTGGAAAGGAGTGAGCCGAAACGAGGCAAAATCAGTGCTTTTCTGAGTGTAGGGTATATGGAAGTTCACTGCACTATTTTCTGCTTCTGGTATGTTTGAAAATTTTCATGTTAACTTTTTGTTTTCTGCATCTGGTGTTAATTCTATTCCAATTTTATTCTGTTTTAAAATACCAAGGAAAGGGAAAAGCTTGGACTCTTCGGTAAGATGGCTTTGATGCTGCTGAAGCTCCACTTCAGGAATGGCAGGCATGGAAGGTGTGTGGGAACCCACAATAGCAAACGTTGGTTGTTTCGGTTCCAGTTCCTTAAGCCCTGATACTTAGGCCACCTGTTGGGTCAGTCTGTTAGGTGAGCTGTAACGAAAGAACAGACTCTGGTCTTGAGCAGGAATTTTCAGAGTTCTGGATTTTAGAAGTCCCAAGATCAGGGTGTTGGGAGGTTTGGCAAGTCTCGTGGCTTGCCTTCTTGCTGTGTCCTCACATGACGTTTTCTGTGCATCCCCCCCCCCCCCAAGTCCTTGTGTCTCTGCGGATCCAAATTTTCTAAAGACTGTAGGCAGACTGGATTAGGGTTCACCCTAATGGCCTTATTTTAGTCATCCCTTTAAAGACCTTATCTCCAAATGCAGTCACATTCTGAGGTATTGGGGTTTAGGCCTTCCACACTGGAATTTTGGGTTTCTGATACCAGTCCCAATGTGTGTGGTGGGAGGGGGTGGTTCCCTGCACCCCCAACAACAAGCAATCTGGACAACAGCAAGAGGCCCTATGATTCAGTGCTGATACTACCTGGCTATAGGATCTGGTTCCTCCCTCCACTTGGCCAAGGTGGTGATGCCAGTCGCATGTCCAGGTTGTCGTTACCTGTATTTCTGACTGACTGGCTATAAATCCGAACTTCCCCGCACATCTTCCTGAGGTTTGATTAATGTGCTAGAATGGCCCACAGGACTCAGGAAAGCTATTTACGTACTAGATTACTGATTTGTTATAAAAGGATACAAGTCAGCAACATCCAGATGGTCAAGATGAACTGGGCAAGAATAGGGAACGAGCTGAGCTTCCATGCCCTCCCCAGGCATGCCACCCTCCCAGATCGCCAACCCAGAACTCTGATCTCTGCCCTTCCGGGTTTTTATGATTACGTTGTTGTCCTTTGGTGATTACTTCAGCCCGTAGGCCCCTCCCCTCTGCAGAGGAGGTGTGCAAGGCCCGATCCTCTAATCACCCTACTCACTTAGGTGGCTCCATTGGCAACCAGCCTTCATTCTGGGCCCTTTCCCAAAGCCACATTAACGAAAGCCACTTTTTTATCACTCTCCAATACTGTGGAAATTACAAGGGTTTTGGAAGCTGTAAGCCAGGAACTGTGGACAAAAGCCAAATAGATCTATGAGAAATTCAGATGACCAAAGTCACAATATTGTATGGGGACACAGATCAGCCCACCACATCACCCAGGGGACCGGATAAGCTTATGAAGTAAATGTTTAATGGTCTGGTAACGTATCTGCTTTTTTATTTTTTTTTTTATTTTTTTTTTTTTCGTATCTGCTTTTTTAATCTTACATTCAGTTTGGCGTATGTGAGGTCCTTTCTAAGGTCCCTTGCATAATCAATACATACACTTAAGACCATTTTACTGAATTTGGTTAGTAGTTTCAATGAACTATTTTGTTGTATCATCATTTTAACACCAATTTTTTTTCCAGCAGTTTGTATGAGACCAAACCTTTGGCCAGCATGTATCTCCCTGATTTTAACATTTACCTGGTAAAATGATTTTCTTTGTAACAATTGACTTCAAGGCCATTTAAGTGAATTCTGTTGCCACAAAGTGGGTACTTTTATTTCTTAAATAACCACATTGTCTTCTAAATCTTTTGCTGAAACCTCCCTTTTAAATGTCTTAGCTACTTTACTTTCTAAGGAACTTGCTGGTTGCCTGCTGACTGGAGATCCGGGTGAGGCCTTCCACCCAGTTTGAGCATCAGACCCTAAAGCCTTTCCGGACCCATCTAAGACTATTAGCATTAGTGATCATGCGGAACAGATTTCCACTAGGTTCACCTCCCAGTGACAGGTGCTGCCTGCTGTATCGAAGGCCTCCTAGGCCGACGTGGGGTCAGTGAGAAGCAATATTTGCCATTCACAGTGTCGATCTCGAGCCCCCGTAGCTAAGTCCCCCTCCCCTTTATCCCGTCCTCTGCTCTCCCTTTCCTTTCTTACTTTGAGCATCTTCCAAGTGCTGAGGGTACAGCGAGGAATAAGACAGAGGCCGCGGGGCAGGGGATGGCCAGATAATACGCACACGACCCAAACACCAAGACAAATCCAAATAGTGGCAAGCACAATAAAACACAGGGACAGTTCAAAACTTCAACATTTATTGCAACAATGTGACTTCTAAGAAGGTAAAACAAAACAAACAAAAACTGCCCAAGAGTTGTGGCATGGAGCAGGGCCTTCAAAAATCAATAAATACATACACGAGTGTTAATTAAAGGCATTAGTATCAAAGACATCATGACCAAAAATGTCATAATCGAACACTTGGGTCTCCTGAGGTACAATCCAAAGTTTGCATCAATTTTTTATTATCTTTTTTAAAGACTTATTTATCAGAGAGAGAGAGAGAGAGAGGAGAATGAGCAGGGGGGAGGGGCAGAGCGAGAGGGAGAGAGAATCTCAAGCAGATCCCGTGCTGCGCACAAGGAGCCTGACACGGGGCCCAGTCCCACGACCCTGAGACCACGACCTGAACAGAAACTGAGATGCTCGACCAACTGTGCCACCTGGGCGCCTCAAAAGTTTGCATAAATTTTTAAACACCCCTCCCCCCCCAAAATGTCATGCTTTTGGATTGCTGCTTTTCCTGTACTGGAAAGTTCACTCCTTGATCCTGACGCAAGTACCTGAGACTCACGTACATGGGACCCTTGTTAGTGAGCGTGCCCGACGTGGGAGCAGAAAGCTTTCCCCCTCTTCTAGGTTCTTTGGCTGGTCTAATAGCTAAATCGACATGGAGTCACAGGAGGAGAAATCTAATGTTGTATATACGGGAGCCCATACGAATACGAAAATCAACGAAGTGCCCATGCATTGAAGGAACGATGCATTCATGAAGAACTGACAAAACCAAAGGGGTCTGAGCTTGGGGTGGTTAATCAGTGAAGAAGTAACGGTATCTCCGTCTTCTTGTTGCTAAATCCCCTATCTCTGGGGATAACCGTGTCTCTCTTCCTCCTGGTGCATACGGACGGTGCCTTTCACGGGGGAGATTTATTTCCCGCTTTCGGGAACACAGAGGAGGGTGAGGATGCCTTCTTGCACTGGCTATTTCTTCAGTAACCTTAATTAAAATTAATCAATATGCCAAAATGGCCCATTTAAGGGTGGCGTATTCCCCTTTACCTAATAGCACTCATTTCTCTGTCACTGAAAACCCGGTTGCCACAGGTTTGGTATGAAAACATCCTCAGGAATCACTGCTTAGTGCTCTAAGAATGGGCTTTTCCAGAATCCCCTCTGCTCAATTTTTTTCTAACCTGCATACCAGAACATTCCGTGCTCTCGTCTCTACTGTGCAACAATAGGGTTTCACTTTAAGTGTCAACAGTATCGTTGATATTTGGTCCGATTTAATACAATGGGATTGCACTCAAAGTGTCCAAGGTTTAAAATTAGTATCCTACAGCTGCCTTTCCCCTGTTAAGGATGTTAGGTTTGTGCAAAGCGCCAACGGCCACATCGGTTACACGGCCAAGTGCCTGGAACGGGGTGTTTCTCCAAGTGTGGCCACATTCAAGCGTTTCAGAGTCACGGGGAGGCTGTGGGAAGGCGGCCTGGAGAAGCTGCCCGCTGCCTGCTGCCTGGAGACCGGGGTGGGGCCTTCCACTCAAGTTTGAGCATCCGGCCCTACAGCCTTTCCGGACCCGTCTCAGGCCCTGCATCACGGTCCAAGGGTCTTAGCACCTCTTCCCTCCAGGAAGCTTGTGGTTGCACTCGCAGGCCAACACAGACAAAACGACAACAAATAAACCCAAACAGAAAAACACAGAGGACTAAGGAACATAGATTCCTTATGAGGGTTCATGGGGCAGACGATTAAAAAAGAAAAGGGAGGGACACTCGGGGGTGCTCAGCAGCTGAGCATCTGCCTCTGCCCAGGGCATGATCCTGGGGTCCCGGGATTAAGTCCCGCATTGGGCTCCCTGCAGGGAACCTACTTCTTCCTCTGCCTGGGTCTCTGCCTCTTTGTGTCTCTCATGAATAAATAAATAAAATACTTTTTATTTTTTTATTTTTTAAAGATTTTATTTATTCATGAGAGAGAGAAAGAGAGGCAGAGACCCAGGCAGAAGGAGAAGCAGGCTCCATGCAGGGAGCCCGATGTGGGACTCATCCTGGCCCTGGGCTGAAGGCGGTGCTAAACCACTGAGCCACCCAGGCTGCCCAATAAAATCTTTTTAAAAAAATAAAATAGTCACGTGTGCCTCAAAGAAATCAAACTGCTGTGGACACGCTCACTTTGCACTTATATATACAGCTCTACGACCCCTCAACCTAAGCCCTGGGGTCTAAATGTATTTCAGAATTTGGATTTCTTAAAATATTCTAGAAAGTCAACAGGAGGGACTCCTGGGTGGCTCCGTGGTTGAGCATCTGCCTTGGGCTCAGGTCGTGATCCCTGGGTCCTGGGATCAAGTCCCGCATCAGGCTCCCCGCCTTCCTGCATGGAGCCCACTTCTCCCTCTGCCTGTGTCTCTGCCTCGCTCTCTGTGTCTCTATGAATAAATAAATAAAATCTTTAAAAAAGACACTGGCCAGTAGTGAGCATTCGTGGGGTGCCATCAAAGGCAATCCTCAGACCATTTAAGAATGAAGCGCCCACAGCGGCGCCTGGGCGGCTGCCTCAGTTAACAGCTGCCTTGGGCTCGGGTCTGAGGCCAGGCTGGGACCCCGGGGTCCTGCGCAGCCGGGACCCTGCTGCCCCCTCTGCCCCTCTCCCCACTTGTGCTCTCGCTCTCTCAAATAAATTTTTAAAAATCTTAAAAAAAGGAATTAACTGCTTACCTAAGAGTTCTAGATCCTCCTCCGTTCACCTGGTTATCTAAAGAAATATTTACCGACTGATCATGGGATGTCAACTGAGCACATTCGGTGCTGGGGTAAATGCAATCCTCCTGTAATACGAAACCTATCTTTTGACCTTTTCCTATAAATAAGAGAGCCCGGGTTAGTTTTTGATTTGCATTGACATAAACCTTCATGTCTAATTGGGTGAATTTATTTTAAAGATTTTATTTATTTATTCCTGAGAGACACACAGAGAGGCAGAGACACAGGCAGAGGGAGGAGCAGGCTCCATGCAGGGAGCCCGACGTGGGACTCGATCCCAGGCCTCCAGGATCACGCCCTAAGGCAGGTGCATTTTAAACCATGGAGCCATCCAGGGATCCCCTGAAAATTTTGTTTTAAATAAAACAGAAGAGGAAAATCAAACCACGTGACAAATGCTGCGGCAGGCATGCCGTGTCAGCGTCTGAACGAGGATCTCTATTTGAAGGGACACACGGAGGCTGTTCTATTGCCGTCCCCTCCATGCAGCGGGTAACGGCAAACTGCACAGTAAATATCACAGAAGAGTACAGGATGCAGAATTGCACAATATCACCATTTATCACACTTTCTGAGTCTCCGTCTCACGTGACCTAACTGACCTAATGCCAGAAAATGTTTCACAAGTCCTGGCTGAAAGGGTGGTGGGTATATGAAGAGACAGCAAATAAATTGACAATCACATGGAAACTTTTAGGTAGAATGCAGTTGTTCTGAAATGTGGGTTATTTTTCATTCTCTAACAGGACCTCATTTTGTCTTTTCAAAATAGATCACGTTATCTTCTTGCCTAGAGATGATGATGGCCTTTGTACCCCACCAGATGATCCAAGTCCTCTTTAAATGGATTGTAGCCTTGTTCCTTTAAACATCGCAGTGCCCAGAAAAGCTGGTCCAGGGGAGGAAATTCTTCCCAGGGAACCCACTCCCAACCTAGAAAAGAAAAGATACCAAATCAATTTATTTAGCTGGAAGGAAACAGAGAATATTTACGTTGGCAAGTTAACCTACACTTAGAAAAACAAATTAAATTTAAAAACGACTTGCTAATAACAGCATGCTACTAATCACAGTGGGGCTATGCATTAGCTCTGCTGTGCCAACATAATTTGCGTTTAGAATGATCTTAACAGAACGGTGATCGTTTAAAACATGCTGCTATGTCAACGTGAAGCCCAGCTTATAAAGGCCCCATATGGTAAAACCCAGATTAAGGACCACTCAATTTTTGCTTGAATATTTGGCTAAACAAAACGCACAGAACTTTATATACTACAGGTTACAACGCTACATTAAAATAGACCAGTTACCTCACCTATAGAACAGGTAATCACGAAATTCCTCAGCTATCCTCCACCTTTTTTTTTTAGTATTTATTCATTCATTCATTCATTCATTCATTCATTCATTCATTCATTCATTCATGAGAGACACAGAGAGAGGCAGAGACACAGGCAGAGGGAGAAGCAGGCTCCCTCCGGGGAGCCCGATGCGGGACTCGATCCCAGGACCTCAGGGTCACGATCTGAGCCAAAGGCAGACTGTCAACCACTGAGCACCCCCAGGCGTCCCTATCCTCCACTTTTTTAAAAGGCAATGGAAACTGTGCAGAGAATAAAAAGTATTCTTCTTGGTGTACTTTAGATAGACAGTTTGGATGGGACTGGATTACAAAAAAATCCATTGGAAGAGGAAAGATTTACAGACGCCTGCGTGGCTCAGTGGAGGAGCATCTGCCTTCGGCTCCTGGGGTCCTGAGATCGAGTCCTGCATCGGGCTCCCTACATGGAGCCTGCTTCTCCCTCTGCCTGTGTCTCTGCCTCTCTGTGTCTCATGAATAAATAAAATCTTTAAAAAAAAGGAAAAAAGAGGAGAAGCTGTTACAAAGCAGGGCAGGGCAGGCTCCGTATGAGGGAACCCCATCCCTTTCATCCCCTCCTTCCTTCAACATATTCTGAGCAACGTACTCTATGAACAGGAGCCGGGCAAAGGTGAATGAGCCCACGTATCTGCTTTTGTGTATTCACAGTTCAAGAGAGGACGACCTGAAGCTGAACCCTTGAACTGAACCCGAGGTGCCTTCTGAACGTCAGGGGAGAACGCAGGCCTGCAGCGTGGGGCAGGACGGGAAGTCACTGTGCACCAGGGCTCGGCCATGCACACCCCTGCCAAGCCCCGCAGAGGCCGGGAGAGTGGGGCCCTGGGAGACACAGGCTGCTGGCCGGGGACTGGCCAGAGCTGGGGGGACGGTCGGTCCCTTGGGCGCTTTCTCCTCAGCCCTTCTCTACAAATGAACACTTCCTATGTCTGCTTCTTGAGGACACGAGGTATGCAAAACCAAACCACTTCATCATTTTGTCTCAGGTTTGTTTTTTGCCTGTATTACAGATAAAAATTAGGAAATGGTCATTCCTCCTCAAGTTTAGGGTTTTTAAGATAACAATCGGGGACACCTGGGTGGCTCAGCGGTTGAGCGTCTGCCTTTGGCCCAGGCCGTGATCCTGGAGTCCCGAGATCGAGTCCCACATCGGGCTCCCTGCATGGAGCCTGCTTCTCCCTCTGCCTGTGTCTCTGCCTCCCTCTCTCTGTCTCTCACTGATGGATAAATAAAATCTTTTTTAAAAAAGATAACAATAATTGGTGCATATTACCTGAATAAAAGAAACCTCAGACTGATTTTAAAAAAATTGTTATATGAATTATATTTTGCTTTGTAAAGGGAAAAAAGCTGAGTCCCAAGAAAGGTATTAAAGTGTAAACCTGCCTATTTACACCTCAATTTAATATTAAAAAGACAAGTAATCAACTGCTCCTCCCTGCAGCTTCAGGATGTCAAGACTCTTTTTTGTTTCCACTGTTACGGTCCTCAATTCACCCAGGACAGTTAGGGGTGGGAGAGAGCGCCGAACTCATAGCGGGGGGCTCCCCCAGCGAACCTGGTGCGTTTCTCACCCACCTCTCCTGCTTTCCCGTTTTGGAGCATGAATGATTTCAGCTGTAATCTAGGCCAACTGAGGCCCTTTGGATACTTTTTGGGTGTTTGTGTGTGTGTTACTGTGATATAAGAAATATGTATCTGGCCTTCCTCCCTGTTCCCTGGCACAGAGCTCCTGAGACCTTTGTAATTTCCCGAGTGACAGAGGTGAGAGCAGCATCACTTGTCATCCACAATGAGCCCCCTTCAGGGGCTGACCTGAGTTCATGCTAATAAGCTGATGGGTCGTTGGGGTTCCCTACATAGCTTCAGCCTGGGGGCTGGTGACCAGAAGGACTTTGGACCACCCACATCCCACCTGAAGGGAAAGGGAGAAGAGCTGGAGATTGAGTTAATCGCCAGAAGACAATGATTTAATAAATTATAGCAATAATAGTATGTAATGATCCCATTCCATAGGCACCTCCGTGAAAACCCTACAAGAGCCTCCCGGTTGGTGAACGCATCAATGTGCCGGGAGGGCGTCCTGTGGAAGCTCTGCGTCCTTCTCCCCGCCAACCTGGCCCAGTGCCCCTCTTCCATTTGGCTCTCCTTGAGTTGTTTCCCTTATAATAACCTGGTAACATAAGCAAACTGCTTTCCCGAGTTCAGCAGGCCCGTTCTAGCAAATACGGAACCTAAATAGGAGGTTGTGGGCAGTCAGGAGTACAGGAGGCCGGGACTTGCGACTGGTGTTTGGAGTGGGGGCAGTCCTGTGGGGCAGAGCTCCTTAAGTTTTGGGATCTGACACTGACTCCAGACAGTGTAATTCTAAGACCCTAACTGATGTCTGGAGAACTGTGTGGTGTGAGGAGAAAAGCCGCACATCTGGCGTGAGAGTGCAGTGAGTAAAAACAGCTCAGACTCTGCAGCTCACTTTAGAGGGTTTCAAGGAGCTGCTTTATGAAAAATCGTCTCGGAGTCAACAGGCCTTTGGGTGGAACATGCCCTTCTGTTCATGCAAGCAGTTCAGTCTGCAAAACACTTGAGCAATGATTCATTCATTCCAGAGACATCACTGCCTCCAGGCCTAGGCATCTCCGCCCCCCTCCCCCAGTCCTCCCTGACCACCCTACCTGATGCGGTACCCAAGTGTCCCTGTGTTTCTTCTTATTCCTCACCGTTGGATTTTAAAACACCTGTTAATTCCTTGCCTTCCCCAATCCACCCCCCTAAAACGTAAAGTCTGAGAGGGCAGGGGCTTTGCTCTACCCACCAGGGTTCCTTTAGTGCCTAGAACAGTGTCTGGCACACGGTACTCAGTGAGTAACATTAGAGAATAAATGCAATGTTCCCAGGGGAGGTCCAGTACATAAGACACACCTGGGTAAGGTTTCCGATGACAAATAGTATGTTTGAGAAATTTGAGATTTTATTCTTTCCCGTGGAGCTTTACGGAATTTCAAGTGAGGTGAGACATGCAAAGCCCCCAGAACAATGCTTAGCACTCGGCAAATCTCAATTGTTGTTAAAGCTTTCGGAGCACTGGACTCAACACAGAGGATTAGCGGTTTTGTCAGGCTCCGTCACTTGCTTTTTGGGAAATTAATTAATTAATTAATTATATTTGGGAAATCAATTAATTAATTAATAGATTTTACTTATTTATTCATGAGAGACACAGAGACACAGGTAGAGGGAAAAGCAGGCTCCATGCAGGGAGCCTGATGTGGGACTCGATCCTGAGTCCCCGGGATCACGCCCTGGGGCGAAGGCAGGTGCTAAACCGCTGAGCCACCCGGGCATCCCTATTCGGGAAATTTATACCTTTCTTGCACAAGTGAGAACACTGAGGGTGGCCCCTTAAATGTTTCGCTGAGAATCAGTTTGAAACAAAATTAAACACTAACAATAAAACTAAGATTTCCTGAGCGCTTGTGGTGTCCACTTGGTTCTTTATACGTGTTATATACGTGTTAACTCATTCCATCCCTACAACCACCCACCTGAGGTTGTTACTTGTATCACAGAGGAGAAAAGAGGCCCAGAGACCTTATGTAACTTGCCCGAGGTGACACATCTCTAGTGGGGAAAACCAGGATGTGAGTCAGGAGGTATGGCTGCGGAGCCAGTTCTCTTTCCTGCTGTGTCCTTATGTCCGGGCGGGGGGGGGGGGGGTATATATTTATATTTCCATATGAAGAGACTCTAATTCTCTTCCCGTGATATGCTGCTTTAAGAAGGTGCATGATTATAGAATTCTCTTACTTTCATTTTTTTCAGGCTCTGTGTTCTTTGGCTCTGGGTCGTGAGTCAGATCCACCTCTCCTTTCATTAGTATGGTCACATAATGGTAATTTTCTTTCTCGACGAAGGAATTCACAACTGAGGCAAAGCGAACATTTTTCAGGTGAAGAGCTGCTTCTTCCCAAGTCTCCCTTTGAGCACATTCTTCCCACGTTTCCCTGGAACACAGAAGCACGCCACTGTATTCAATTCCGTTTACGTACTTTACTATTTTTTTTGCTATGAAATTCTTGGCTAAGGAATTTCTAGTGTAAAGCAAAAAGAACCGGCTCATGCTTTAAAACAATCAACAACCCAGCTTCTGATACTCTTCTTATCTGGAGTATAAGGTATCTGAAGTTATCGGAAGACCAGAAGGACTCCCTATGGAGTAAAAAAAAAAAAAAAAAAAAAAAAAATTATTAAACATTCAGCCAATTCAGCACCAGGTCACGTGCCTGGAGGCCATATGTCACCAGGAGACAGTTTAGCATACCAGGTAAGAGCACAGGCTTTGGAGCCAGCTAGACCTAGCTTTGATTTCAAAGTCCATTACTTTCTACCTTGGACAAATAAAAGGAGATAAGCCACCCTCTCACTGGGTTGTACGTGTATCAAGGAGTGGATGATGTCTTTTCCTGTAGCTCAGATTTTTCGTTTAAGCCTCAACTTTGAGGACAATAGGCAATAAGCACCTCTAAATTCTAAAGAGCGCAGCAAAAGAGCAAACAGGTGCCATCTAAACTCAAAGGTTTCCAAAGGACAGAGTCGTCTTTTGACCTTCACCCCACCCAGTCTACAAAGTAAGAAACATAGGAGATTTGGGGGAGGCAGGAAAAGTCACAAAGTTTCAAGCATAGTAGCAATATTTCCTTTCTTCCTGATGAGGGGACAACTCTGCCCCAAAGCCAAGTGAGAGGTGCTCCGAGAAAACTGGTGGCAGAGATTGGGTGTGACTCCCAAGGAGATACAGGGGTGCTACTCCCCTGCTAAAGACGTTGGGGCTGCGGAAACTCATGGGCTGTGCATCAGAGCAGAGGTAGTAGGAAGGTAAGAGCTCTCGGGCAAGTCGCAAATGTGTCCCTTGGTGTTTAGGGATGCGTGTGAATACAGAAGCTGAGGCTTGTTCTCACTTTCAGAATCTGGAAGGCAGGAGACTGGCTGGAGAAGCTCACGAGAATGAGCAAGGAGAAAGGGCAATCACGAAGGCATTTCCACTGCAAATTTCCTCTGGGCCCAGCAGATACTACAGGAGACCACCAGGGGCGGGGGGGACCCCAGCATGAACAAAACACAAGACAGTTGCTAAACCAAGAGCTAAATGGGTCACCTATGTCAGAGAACTGTGCAGTAGAGACATCCTCACAGGACTTCCAAACCAAGAACTGTACGCTGAGAACGAGAGCACACCTGCGGATGCTGCATCCAGAGGGTCCCGTGGGTGGATCACAGCAGCACTAGTCCTGTAAAGCGTCTGCCCCCTCCCGCCCTCCCCAACAGCCTGCAGAAGGAAGGAAACCAGAAAGAGTGAGACGTGCAGGTGGCCCACCTCCTCTCTCCTTTTCCCCACTACAGGGGAGAGGCAAATGCTTGCAAGTGCATCATAATGACCAAAACAAGTCTACTTTTACAATCAAGTGACGGGAAAACAGCAGAATTTGCAGGGAATATCTTGGAGCAGCAGAGAAGGGGAAGACAAATCATGTTTAAAGACAATGGAAGGGGACGCCTGGGTGGCTCAACAGTTGAGCATCTGCCTTCGGCCCGGCGCGTGACCCCGGGGGTCCCGGGATCAAGTCCCACCTTGGGCTCCCTGCTCGGAGCCTGCTTCTCCCTCTGCCTGTATCTCTCGTGAATAAATAAAATCTTTTTTTTTTTTAAAAGACAATTGAAGGAGAAAAAGCCATTTCCTATTTGTTTCCCATCAAACTTAGCCCATTCAGTGGACCAGTCATTTAAAGATACGTGAGAGGGGGCAGCCCTGGTGGCTCAGCGGTTTAGCCCCTCCTGGAGCCCCAGGTGTGTGATCCTGGAGACCTGGGATCAAGTCCCACCTCGGGCTCCCTGCATGGAGCCTGCTTCTCCCTCTGTCTGTGTCACTGCCTCTCTCTCTCTCTGTCTCTCATGAATAAATAAAAATCTTTAAAAAAAAAAAGTGAAAGCACACATGTGAAGAGCTTAGCATAATATCCAGCACTTAGTAAAAAGCTCACTAAAGTTCAATTCTGGCTCTTATCATTGCATATCTGAGTGAAGATTCCAATACTTTATTGTGTAATTATTACTTTAGCCATTGCTCCAGTACTTATATATTCTAACTAGTGCTTAGTTTGTGACCTAACACTATCAACAAGGTACAATATAGTGTGTCCGTCTGGGCAATGTGATGCTCAACCTAGAAATTGTATGACTTATTAACTGACGGCTTATATCAATTATCTAAAAATGATAAAACATTTTTTTCTTAAGATTTATTTATTCATGAGAGACGAGGCAGAGGGAGAGAAGCAGGCTTCAGGCAGGGAGCCCGAGGTGGGACTCAATCCCGGGACCCCAGGGTCACGACCTGAGCCTGAGGCAGGTGCTCGACTGCTAAGCCTCCCAAGCCTGCCTAAAAATGATAGGCTTATTGATGCTTTTTAAAATCCTGAAGACCAGAGATTCCTGGGTGGCTCAACGGTTTTGCGCCTGCCTTCGGCCCAGGGCGTGACTCTGGAGGCCCGAGATCAAGTCCTGCATCAGGTCCCCTGCAGGGAGCCTGCTTCTCCCTCTGCCTGTGTCTCTGCCTGTGTCTCTCATGAATACATAAAGAACATCTTTAAATAAAATCCTGAAGACCATTTAAAAAACTCCATGTGCTGAAGGATCGTAAGAACTCCATGTTTCATAAAAGACAAAGTCTGATTAAACGGAGCTAGGACAAAAAAAAATAATAATAAAACAAAAAACGGAGCTGGGACAAGGCTCCATGTCTAACGAGCACTTTAGAACAGATGGATTAGGAGAATATAGTCAGAAGGTATCAAGTTCTCCATATGACCCAGATTCTTCACCAGGGCACGGAAAGAAAGGGAAAGTGTGTGTGTGTGTGTGTGGGGGGGGGTGTTACTGTTGGATTTGGAGATTTAAGAAATTCATCAACCGTAAAATACAAGTAGTTTTTTTTTAAGATTTTATTTATTTCTTCAAGAGACACATAGAGAGAGGCAGGGACCCAGGCAGAGGGAGAAGCAGGCTCCCTGCGGGGAGTGGATGCAGAACTCGATCCCGGGACCTTGGGGTCACGCCCTGAGCCGAAGGCAGGCGCTCCCCGGGCGCCCAGTACATGTGATTTGTGCTCTTCTTCGCTCTCGATCGGTACAATAAAAAGGCATTTTCAAGACAATTTGGGGAAACAGTACAGACCCAGCAGCACAGCTTGTTCAAGAGTTATCTCGCTGGGGTGAGGAAACGGCACGTTGTCAAGGTGGGAACCCACGTGTCCGTTTTCTAGAAACCTGCCCCCGGCACGTGCCCGCCCTCGAGGGCTGCGATAATACATATCGGAGTCGCCCGGCAGACGGGTGCGGACGGCAGGAGCGGCGGGCGTCTGTCGGGTGACGGGGCCCCACGGACAGCGGGGCGACCTCGGAGGCGGCTGCAAAGCCCCGAGCTGGCTCCGACGAAGGCTTGGCCGCTGCTTCCCTGCGCTCGCCCCCCCCCCCCCCCGCTCGCGGGCACCGGATGCAGCTGGCACAGGTGCAGAGGCCCAGCCGGCCACCCCGCCCGCTCGAGGTTAGAGACCCACTGCCCCGCCCCCAGCAGCTGAGCACCCCATGGCGCAGGCGCGGCTCCCGGCCAGGGGGCGGGGCGCAGCAGCCCGAGGCGCGGTGGGCAACCCCGAGGCGACGCAGCGTCAGCACGCACGCACGCACGGCGCGCGCCCGTCCCCCGCACCTGGGGCTCTCCCGGGGTATATCCTGTGGCCGCTCACCCGAACTCCAAGTGGCCCCCCGGAAGTTGAAAACTGCCGGCTCCGAAGGACCCTTTCCTCTTGCCCAGGAGGACACAGCGCGGGTGCCTGCTGCTCGTCACCACCACGCCGACCCCGACCCCAGGCCGCCGCCCCGCAGCCTCCGGGAGGGCGACCATCCCGCGGGCGGGCTGCCGGCCGGAAGTGACGTCGGCCCCGCCCCCCCCCCCCCGGGCCGCCACCAATCGCTCCCCGCGTCTGCGCCGGCGCAGAACTCAAAGCCGGAGTTCTGGGGCTTACCTTGGAGTGCGGCGTCTCTGCTTCACGTGGACCGGGGGCGGGGCTGGGGGAGCCGGTGACCCCCCCAGGCCGGCCCGTCGGGGCTCTAGTGATGCCTCTTTGCGCCGCGCTTGCAGCGTTACCCGTATCTGATGTGGGAAAGGAGGGCGACAAAGTTGTGAATCTCCTTACTGTGTGTAGACCATCGGTGACTCGTGGAAACGGGCACAGGGACCTTCCTCTAGGAGCCCAGCCGCCTCCGGGTTAAACTTTCCTTTCCAGGCAACCTGAGCCTGATCCCGGTAGGACCCTGTAAGCCTTCTTTAATTTGTAAAAATTCCTTTGGAAACTTCCCCTTATCTCTATCCTCCAAGATAGATGTTGGGAATCATCCCCCAAGCCTGTGGCCCACTGATACACATCCGAAGGGTCTCGTGCCTGAGTTTTTATTAAACAGTAATAAATGACCTTATTTTCCCCTAATGGTAGGCCCCTCAGGATCCTGAAACCTGGTTTCCAAAATATCTTGGAGGCTTGTACTGTCCCTAACCTCCTCCCAACTTGAAAGGATATAATAATCTTAACTCTGGGAAACAAACAGGGTTGCCAAAGGGGAGGTGGGTAGGGGGATGGGATAACTGGGTGATGTGAGGAGCCCTGGGTGTTAGACCAACTGACTAATTATTGAAATCTACATCGGAAAATAATAATGTACGATATGTTGGCAAATTGAATTTAAAGAAATGAAACAAAAAGAAAGCATGTGATCAGTCACCGGTCACAACCCCAGTGCAGCTCTTTCTGCCCGCAGGTCCTGTCCCCATGCTTTAATATAACCACCTTTTTTTGCAGCGAAGATGTCTCAAGAAATCTTTCTTAACCATTTGCTCCAAACCCCAACAATTTCTATATTAATATCTACTCTCAGATTCCTCCAGACCCTGCATTTATCAGCCACCTGCTTTTATAATCCTCTGTGCCTTGCACATCCTTTTCTTTTTTTGTTTGTTTGGATGAATTTCTCCACCACAGGAAATTCATTGTAGCTACAGCTCAAATCAGTGTGGTACCAGGGCAAGGACAAATGATATAGAAACAACCTGGTATAAATAATTCAGAGTATTAACACAACATGGAAAAAAGTTAAAGACAATCAATACATTGTGCTGGGAGGAGCTACTAGGTATCTGGGAGGAAAGAGAACCTGTTTGAGTTGTTCACACTATGCACCACCAAAAAAAAAAAAAAAAGTCCCAGCTGAATAAGAGTTGTAATGAAAACAAACTAAAAACAAACAAATGACTAGTCTCTGGATGGGGAAGATTTACTTTTTTCCATTAATATAAATTAAATTTGACTTCTACCAAAGTAATGTGCATATAATCTAAAAACATTGAAAAACAAGGACGAATAGGGATGACTTTATGCACCAGTCTTGCTTTCATTCACTTTTAGCTCTTTGAACTGTTATTTCTGATATTTGCCTACATATTTCAAAGTAATATGTTTATTCTTCATGTTCTTTTTTTTAATTCTTCATGTTCTGATAAATGACTAAACATTTGTGCATCATCTCTCCTTCCACCGACAAATACATCCTTTAATAGGTTATGCAGCCCAAAGATGTTCTATGATATTTTCCCAAATAAAAATTGGCAACATATAAGAAAGGATAATACGTCATGACTGAATGGAGTTATTACAGAACTACAAAGTGGGTTTAATATTTGAGAAATCAATCAATGGAATTTACTATATTAAAAAAGAAAAAAGGAACACATATAATCATCTTAATAGATGTAGAAAAAAAACTTGAGAAAATTCAGCACTTATTAATGATTTTAGAAAGTTAAGCAAACTAGAGCAAACTAGAAATAAAGGAATTTTAACAACCTGATTTAGGACATTTACAAAGACCTACAACCAACATCATAATTAATGGTTGTTATGGACTGAGTTACACCCCCTTCCTCAAATTTGTGTGTTGAAATCCTAACCCCCTGATACTTCAGAATATAACTATTGTAGAGATAGGAACTTCATAGAGGTAATTAAGTTAAAATGGAGTCATTAGGATGAATCCTAATCCAATATGAACGTTGTCCTTAAAGAAGGGAAGATTAAAGCAAACACAGAGGAAAAATCCACGTAAAAACACAGGGAGAAGATAGCCATCTGCAAGCTAAGGAGAGAGACCTCAAAAAGCCAACCCCACCGATACCTTGATCTTAAACTTCTAGACTCCAGAATTACATGAAAATAAATGCTATTTAAATCACTTAGTCTGGTACTTCCTTATGGCAGCCCTAGCAGACCAATGCAATGGTGAAATATTAAGATTTAAGAGAAGCAAGGATATCACTTTAAGTCATCACATCGCTGGAGGTTCTAGTTAGTGCAACCAATAAAATCAAGAAATATCAGTGAAAGTTACATTGGAAAGGGAGAAGTAAGTGTCTTTATTCACAGACAATCCTAAGGAATCCACAAAAAGCTACTAAAACAAATAAGTTTAGCAAGTTCATAGAATTCAAGGTCAATATACAAAATCAATTATATTTCCATATACAGATAGTGCCCGAATTATGAGGTTCTATTTATAGTTTTTTGACTTTATGGTAGTGTGAGATCAGCACACATTCTGTAGAATCCATCATTTGAATTTTGAATTTTTATGTTTTCCCAGGGTAGCGATATGCAATGTGGTACTCTCCTGTGTTGCTGTATCCCTGAGATACAGCTCCCTGTACCTTTACAACCATTCAGTTTTTCATGTCCAGTGGAGTATTCAAAAAATTACATGAGATATTCAATGCTTTATTATAAAATAATAGCAAATAATATTTAATAAATTCAGAAACTGAATCTAAAAAGCAACATCGTGGAAAATATAAAATATTAAGGGATAAATTTAGCAAAAGATGTGTAAAACCTGTACAATGAAAACTATTAGACATTCCTGATGGAAATTAACTAAAAGGAGATAAATACCATGATTTTGGATCAGAAGACTCCATATGGTTAAGTTGTCAAATCTCTTCATTTTTTAAAAGATTTTATTTATGTATTTGTGAGAGACACAGAGAGAAAGAGACACAGGCAGAGGGAGAAGCAGGTCCCATGCAGGGAGCCTGATGTGGGACTCGATCCCAGGATCCTGGGATCATACCCTGAGCCGAAGGCAGATGCTCAACTGCTGAGCCACCCAGGTGCCCCCCTCTTCATTTTTTTCAATTAAATTTTATTTTTTTAGATTTTATTTATTTATTTATTTATTCATTTATTTATTTATTTAATAGAGAAAGCATGAGAGAGAGAGAAAGAGAGAGAGAGAGAGAGAGAGAGAGAGAGAGTACGTGGAAGTAGGGAGGGGCAGAGGGAGAGGGAGAAGCAGATGCCTTGCTGAGCAGACAGCCCAATGTGAGGCTCCATCCCAGGATCCCAGGATCATGACTTGGGCTGACAGCAGACAATTAACTGACTGAGCTACCCAGGCACCCCTGTCAAATCTCTTCAAATTGATTTACATGGATTCAATGATATTCCAACAAAAATGCCAGAAGGCTTTTTTTTCCCCAGTAAAAATTGACAGTCTAATTTTAAAATTTATATAGCGATGAAAAGGAATTGAATAGTTAAAACAACTTTTAAAAAGGAAAAACTTAGAGGATTCATATTACCTGATTTCAAGACCCAGGATAGGGATGCCTGGGTGGCTCCATGGTTGAGCATCTGCCTTCAGCTCAGGGTGTGATCCCGGGGTCCTGGAATCAAGTCCCACATCAGGCTCCCTGCATGGAGCCTGCTTCTCCCTCTGCCTGTGTCTCTGCCTCCCTTTCTGTGTCTCTCCTGAATAAATAATATCTTGGAAAAAAAAAGACCTAGGATAATGCCACACTAATCAAGAGAGTGTGGTATTTGTTGATTTATTTATTTAAGAAAGAGAACAAGCACTAGGGGGGAAGGGCAAGGAAGAGGGAGAGAGAGAGAGTCCTAAGCAGGGTTCATGCCTAGCATGGAGCATGATGTGGGACTTGAACCCAGGGCCCTGAGATCATGACCTGAGCCAACACCTAGAGTCAGATGCCAACTGAGCCACCCAGGCACCTGCAGACTGTGGTATTTATTAAAGCATAGGCACATAGACCAATGGAACAGAATGGAGAAGCCAGAGATAGACCTTTTTTAACATATGGTGCACATCAACAACAACATATCATTTATACTTGGCACCACATATAACAGTTCATCAAAATGGACTGCTCCTCAATAAAAATACCTAAAAAGTATACATTTTCTCTAAGAAAATGTAAGACAATATCTTTGTGATCTAGGTTAGGCATAGATTTCCTCTATATGACACCAAAGGCATGGTTTGTTAAAACAACTGATGATGTGGACTTCAACAAAACCTAGAAATTATTCTTGTTGAGAGACACCATTAGGGACTGCATTGTATTTCACCCCTCCCCAAATTCATATGACGAAGTCCTCTCTCTCCTCAAATATTTTTTATTATGAGGACTTTGGTAGGTAATTAGACCTAGAAGAGGTCATAAATGTAGGGTCGTCATAATGGGACTAGTGCCCTTACAAGAGACCAGAGAGCTTGATCTTTCTTTCTCCAACATGTGAGGAGAATTTAAGAAGGTAGCTGTCTGCACACCAGAAAGAGGGCTCTCACAAGGAATCAAATCTGTTGGCACATTGATCTTGGTATTCTCAGCCACCAGAACTGAGAAACAAATGTCTGGCATATCTGGTATTTTATTATAGAAACCTGAACAAAGCAAGTTATAAACTATCTTTCAAAATGGAAAGACAAGCTACAAACTTAGGAGAAAAGTGTGCAAAGCACATTTCTGATAGAGGACTTGGATCTAGAATATGTAAGGAATCCTCAAAACCCAACA